TAAACATAGAGGCATACTTTTGTAGCACTTCTAATATTATTTGTGGCCTAATATCCAAGTTTCAGAGACAGATTTTGTCACCTTAAATCTAAGATACTTAACACAAAAAGTTTCTACATGGGTATTTTGTTAGAAAGAGGGGTTGTGAATAAATTTGGGATGTAGTACACATGCCATTGGCTCTGCAGATCAAGAAAAACATGGACATGTCTCATAGGACACTATCAAATTTACCTTGCATAATTGCAGAGGGTAAGACATTTAAACAGATTAAAGAAAAGTCACTTTGGTGCCTTGAGAACAAATCACTAAAAATAGGATGGGATGAAAATTTTAGTTGAATTTCTGATTGCACAACAAGAGTTTTGCTAATGTAATTGTTTATCAGTATCCTATGTACATGTTTTATAAAGACTTTGGCTTTTGTATATGTAACAGATACCATGAGAAATGAAAAAGGCTGCAACCTTTGATTCCAGTAAAATTGTGTGCTTGGAGTGATGTTGATCATACAGATAAGGGGGCTAAACCTTATGGACAATATAGCAGCTTAAATCAATCAGACAATCTGCTTTGTAAGATTGTGGTTTCTAGAGAAATAAAGACTTTATAATAAAGAAATATTTCATTCACTTATTTTCAGAAATGTTTTGTGTCAAATGTCCTTGGGCATTTCAACCGACCTTAAGAAAACGGTTTTTGTGTAGTTGTCATATCTGAAAATAAAGCCTTTTATCTAGGATTGAAATTTCTGTTTTTTCCAAATGAAAGTCTGTCATTTGGGATAGGCTCAAAGACAAATTCAAGATCAATAAAAGCAGCATGAAAGGCCCCGTGAAGGTTGGCACAGTATTTTTCTGCTAGGTGTTGAAATTCAGGCAATGGTCAATTTTAGACTTGCCAGTTTTAACACTGGCCTGTTCATGGGTTTTTCTTAGAACCCCCCCCCCCCCGACAATTGTAAAACAAAACTTTCTTGAATATGTTTTGCTGGTTACATGCGGCAGATTAATGGAATGATATTAGTGAAATTAGTGCTGAAATTAGTGCCCATCAGTGAATATTAATTTTGAAAAGTTCAACAGGGATATCACCCCATCTGATGGCTTTGTCTAATTTAACCCTGTGCCTCAAATTTCTTAAAATTTTATCATTACAATGAAGGGCAAACTGGGAGATTAAGGGGTGCAAAATTCTAGGGTGAGACCTAAGGATTTGAAACTGCAATTGCCAATTCACTGGAGACAACTGATAGATTTAACCAAGGAGCTTCATTTTTTGTATTTTTGACTACAGTCTGCCAAATTAACTGCATTTCTCAGTTGTCACTTTTCTTCATTTAATTTGTATTTACTGATTTTTACCCTACCCCTTTGCCCCTAAACATTCTTTCTAGTAAAAATAGAACAAAATAAGACAGGAGGGTGGAATTAGATTGATCTGAAATATCTTATAAAAGTGTCCCAAAGGTGCTTTTTCAGGAGGCAACTGGATTTTTTTCTTTCTCGCTTTTGAAGACATTTCACTTCTCATCTAAGAAGCTTCTTCAGCTCTGACAGGATAGTGGGGAATGGAAAGATTTATGTTCCTTGCAGACAGCTGTTCATTTGCATCCTTTTAGAGTGTCACTGAAGCACTTAAGAGGTTTATCTGTGTCCTCGGCATCACCTGAGTAGTGCTCCTGGTTCCTGTAGGCTGCAATTTTTTTCCTCTGGAAATCCATTCCTACTCCCACACCATTTAAAGGGTGTTCATCCCAAATTCTATAGTTAAAAATCTGTAGAGATTCTCAGTCATCCAGGTCATCGAAAGGTACTTTTTCAGGAGGCAACTGGACTTCCTTGTTTTTCCTTTTTGAAGACATTTTGCTTCTCATCCAAGAAGCTTCTTCAGCTCTGATCGGATCGTGGGAATGGAAGGGTTTATATTCCTTGCAGACAGCTGGTCATTTGCAGTTTGGCTTCCGTTTCAATGACCCTCTAAAGGATGCATATTACTAGCTATGTGCAAGGAATATGAATCTTTCCATTCCCCATTATCCGGCGAGAGTTGAAGAAACTTATTGGATGAGAAGTGAAAGGTCTTCAAAAGAAAAAACAAAGTCCAGTTACCTCCTGAAAAAGCACCTTTGCGACAACGATGACCTGGATCACTGAGAATCCCTACAGACCTTATAAAAGGCAGTTTAATGAGATCCTACAAACTATACAGCAGCTTGGTGGACTCAATAAAACTGTTGAATCTATATTTTAAAATTACTTGAAATTTCAAGTGTTTGCCTTGTACCACAATTTATTGAGTTTAGCATTGCAAATTTCACTATTCATTGTATATTAGCAAAGGAAGAGATCGCAAAGAACAATTTTAACTAATAAACATCAAAAATAACAAACAATAAACAATTCTCTAATGTCACGTATACCTAATATGTTTTCAGTTTTTCCTCCAGACCATAGCAATTTTACCTATATATTCAGAAATCTCTATTCAAAACCAATATGAATCACAGGACAATAATTCTCTATTTGGATCCACAATGGTTTTTTTGATCCAAATATTTTTTTTCAAAGGAGATTTAATTACTGCCTGTCTCAAAACACCTAGCATAATGATATGGGGCATTTACATTTTTCTGAATCCCCCTGCCAATCTCTTTTTGCTACCTATAACCAGATAAAACAGATTGCATATTGAGATTATAAATTATGAAATATATTGATTCTGCATTTTATTCTGCTTAGATTGCAGCAAATGAAGTTGATCTCCAAAATCCTGATTTGGTGGTCCTCTAGATATTGTGAATAGTATAGAATTTAGAAATAGAAATACAATACTATAGAATACAATACAATGCAATATGTTTATTGGCCAACTCTGATTGGACATGGAGGAAATCTATCTCTGGTGCATAAGGTCTCGGGGTACTAAATTTCAATAAAATTATGTGCGATGAGTTAGACCAGGGGTCCCCAACCCCTGATCCATGGTCTGGTACCAGGCCACAGGCTATTGGGATCCCGATCACAAAAGTGAGGGGTGGACATGCACAAAGCTGCATTCCCTTCCTCCTCTCTGCTGGTCTGCTAAGCTGGAAAGGTTGGGGACCGCCGAGTTAGATAACCTACACTACATTTTTCTGCATTAGACACCAGCTAGCCAGCCGTGTTGGACCTTCAAGTCCCCTTGCTACTTTTTGGGTAGAGCAGTATGCCTGCAGGTACAGGACAGTGGCTGGGTGTCAGCATGGTGATACTGGGCAACTGAGGAAATGTTTAACAAAGGACTAGATTTCTCTAAAATTAACAGACTAAGCATCTAAAATGCAACTGTTATGCATTGTAAAATGTAAAGGTATTCTTTTGAGTTACCTAAAGCATAATCACTGCATGAAACATAGCACAAGCCACCAAATGACCAATCTGTTCAACAAAACAAGGTAAACACTAAGTAAAATTATTTACAAGTGTATTCACTTATTTATTTAGCATATTTATATAGCTGTCTATCCAGAAAAGTCTGGGTGATTAATTAACAGAAACAGGACAATCAAATGGTAGAAATCTATCCTGTTTCTCCAACAATACGGCCTCCCCCAATAGGAAGTCCCAGCATGTTTTATAGGCATGAAATGAAATTAAGCCCCTCCCCCCATATTAAGGCCTATATTTAAAACATGCAAAACGGGAGAGAATGGTGGGGGGGCTTGCCATTAGGAAGTACTTTTGTTGCACACCCGGATATGGTGCTGCCTGCATTGACCCCGATACGAAATGCCCCACCAACACCGAGGTCAACATCCAATCCGTCGCTGCCTGCCCATCCGAAGATGCAAGGGGGGGAATTAAGTCCCCCCTGAAAAGACAGCCTAGACATTTTTGGGGGGCTCAAAAAAAAAATAAGACCCGGCCTTATTATATGAGAAACACGGTATTAAAAAGAAACTGGGTCAACCCCCATCCCAATCACATTTATATTAAATGTAACCACAGCCATACAATTACTCCATTAACATCCTTGACCATAAGGCCTAGGGAGAAAAAGGCAGGTCTTCACAGACCTCTGGAAGGCCAACAGTATTGAGATTGTATCTCATTAGGGGGTTGGTCCATGAGGAAGGTACCCTGACAGAGAAGGCATGCTTCCTGGGGTCCACGAGGTGACACTGCTTCACCAGTGGGATCTGGAGCATATCTAGTCTACCCTATCTGATAGGGTGAACAGAAACCATCTGGGAGAAATGGCTCCACAAATTAGTGCTTGGCAGACTTCTTAGGATAAGCATTCTGCATCAAAACTTTTTTCAGTTTGATTAAAGTCAGGAGAGAATGAAATAGAGCTGTGAAAGAGAAATGTAATCTATGTTTATGATGTTTTATTTCCTTTAGTTGTCTTATTTCCTTTAGTTGTCTTATTTCCAAACAGCAGCACCTCCTCCAAATTGCTCCTGTAGTTTTTGTTTAATTTTCAAATTAATTATATTGATCTAGTATTATATTGGTTTAGTTTCTCTCTAAGAGAAACCAGTTTTTACTTTTTTTGTTTCTCTTTAATGTTCCAAGCAGAAAGTGATTATATGAATGTCTTTTTGAAGAAGACTTGTAGAATATTCATAATATCCTGCTATAAAATACAATGTGCTATTATGATTGATTGGTAAGGATAACATCTTACATTCAGATTATAGTGGCTTGTCTTTGGAAAAGCAGTTCACATCCTTTGAATATTTTACAATTTTTACAGCCAAATGTTCCTAAGGATTATTGGTAAAATCCAAATGATTATCTGAAAAGAAATACTTCTTCACAAAATAAATGTAAAAAGAAAGACAGAACCCTTGGTTATCTGTTACGCTGTTTCTTTCTTATTTGGTCTGTAGTAGCAATTTAATATTGAACTAGAAAAATTGTGATCCAATCTTGTGAACATCTTATTTGGGTATCAGTTATAAAGAAGAAGGGAGAAAACCACTGCTGTTTTAAGTACTATGTTGTCTTTTACAGGTGATTCCTTATCTTTCCTGATCACTGTCTCCAAATACTTTCTAAATGAACATTCCTGTTACTCTCAAATTGCTGGAAATGGCCAGTCCAGCCATCAGCCCTGACTCTTCTTCCCATGAAGGACTTTCTTCTGTCAACTCAATGCCTGCATGTTCCCCTACTTCCGATTCTGAGAATCTGAGCCCAGATGAGTTGGAGCTCTTAGCCAAGTTGGAAGAACAAAACAGGTAGGACATTCTGAAGGTCTAGTACTGCTCTGATATTGACTGAAAGCCAGAGGATATAAATAGCTTAATGTTTAAATATTAGTCAGATGTTTCAGTTTTACCGGATGGCCCTGTAAACACAACAGTTTAAATACAGTATTTCTTGAAGCATTAATGTACAAATACTAAATAGATCTTTATTACCCAGTGGATGGCAATCATAGATAACAAAAAGTTTTGATTCTTCCCTTTAATTTATCTGACAATATTGTTACTGGGCATTAAAAAAATATCAGCTTCATTATCAACGATCTTTATGTTTTGTATCCTTTTCTTGGATAAGTTATTTTACCATACAGCTTTAGTAATATTGGATGGCTAACAAACAATACATTAAAAACCCATATTAATAAAGAAAATGACATAACACATTCAGAACCAAAGATGAGGAATCTGCAGTTCTAAGGGACCCCAAAACCCAGTCATTCGGTCTTGCTAAGATTGAGTTGTAGCCTGTTCTTCCCAGCCAGTCTTTCACTGCCTCCAGGCACTGGATAAAAAACGTATGGCAACACTTGTATTGCCTACACCAGAGATATATAACTGCATAGCATAAATTCAGAGGATACCTCACCCCATGGCAATGGATATTTTTGCTTAGTGGCTTCATGTAAATGATTAATAGGAACAGACAGAGTTGAGCCTATGGCACCCCACATATCATGACTAGACTTCTCCTTTTCCCATCTATACCAACTGGGACTGACCTCCAAAGGAGAACCACTGCAGAACTCTGCTCCACTCTTCTCAATTTCAGAATAATACTGCAATCAATGCCATTGTCAATATTTAAAGCTTCCAAAAGAATCAGAAGGATAGGATGGATCCAGCACTCCATTATTAGCCATCTAGTATACTCGGTGCCATCTGAGTAATACAGCCTGACCTGAAACCCAACGGGATACGTCCAGGTGCTCTACTTCCTAAAAAGGGAAGGTTGGAAACTGGACAAAAACTATCCAGTATGGTTGGCTACAAGGAGGGCTTCTTCAGGAAGACACAGATCACCGCTGGAGGTATGCAGGAATCATTAGCTAGGTAAAACTGGCTGAAACATTTTAAGTTCAGAGCAACAAGATAGCATTTAGAAATGGCTAAGGCAGACGTTTTCCTAATTTAGGGTACAGCACAGAGGTGGTATTCAGCAGGTTCTGACCAGTTCTGGAGAACTGGCAACAGAAATTTTGAATAGTTCAGAGAACTGTCAAATACCACCTCTGACTGGCCCCACCCCCATCTATTCTCTGCCTCCCACATCCCAGCTGATCAGCTGGGTCTTCTTTTGTTGCCCTGCACTGGAGAACAGAGCTGGGAAGCAGGTTAGTGGGGTGGGGAAGGAATGTGATTTTGCAGTAACCTTCCCCCAGGAGTGGGATGGGAGTAGAGATTTTATAGTATCCTTTCTCTGCCATGCCCACCATGCCACACACACAGAACTGGGAGTAAAAAAATTTGAATCCCACCAATGGTACAGCACATTCAGACTTGGAAGATTCTGTTATTATTCTATCCAGTCTCAATAGTAGTTCTAGTCCTTCTGGGGAGTTGTTTTCTTGGTCTGGGCTACCCAGTTGACAGGAATGATCTATGCATGATCCTGATATCAACATCCCACAATATCAGATTGCCATTGCTATGGGACAAAAACTAGACTTAGTTTGTATGCTGCCAGAGATTCAGTAGCTGCGCCTCGACCCTATCTCGGCAACCTAGAATGGCGTATTATAGAGAGGGAACTCCCCCACCCATCTACTGATGTTCAGCTAAGTTTTGGTAACACATATGATTTGTAAAAAAAATGACTAAATTCAGTTTGCTTTAATTTTACTTAAGTAGATCCAGATCCAGTACCAATCCAGCTATTAGTGGGAATCCTAGATTGACTTTGCCTTCAGTTAATTGGTATGCCTGGATTTGACAGTTGTTTAAGACATGTAAAAGAGTTAGCTTATTTCTATTAATATCTTACTTGATTGCTATATGATCATGTTGTGACAAAGTAACATCAAATGCTTTATTGTGGTGAAAAATCTTACATAATGAATGTAGTGAGAATCTGAAACACATGTTGCTCTATGCTTATTGAAGTATAGTACTGTACAGACTGCTCTTGATTATAAATGTACAAAATTTGGCTAAAAGGTGAAAGAATCCTTTCAGGCTGGTATGGTACAACCTTGTACAAAATGAAATTGAAAATGATTTGTAAAAAAATGACTAAATTCAATTTGCTTTAATTTTACTTATCCAATTTCTTTCACTGCCCATCTCAGCCAAGTGACTCTGGATGACTTAGAATTCTAAAACTCTAAAACTGATAAAACAATTAAAAACAATAAAATAATAAAAGATATCCCAAAATACATACAACAGCCAAGATAGTTGATCAATTAACACTAATGCAAAAAACTGGGACCCTTAATTTTCTTGTTTTATCACAGAATACAGTTTCCGTTCAACTTTAACTGATAAAACCAGAATGTGTCTAAAGATAGAAATGTTTCTCTATAGCCTTGATTTTAAATATATATTAAAATTCTTTTACAACTAAAAAGTATGCCATGTTCTGTCATAATGTCTCTATCCTGCACCTCAAACAGAATAATTTGCATAAATTACAAATTTATGCATGTATCCTTCCATTCCTGTTCAGAATTGGAAGACTTTCTGATGAATATTCAACATTACAAGGGACTTGTAATGCCCCTTTGTTGATTGGCAATCCTAATCTCTACAAGTGTCATAATGCCTCTTAGTTGAAATGTTTGAAGAAGCTTGTTTACGTGGAAGTTTCATTATGCTCTGGAGCATTTGTTGTATTCTAACCTAGTTATGTAACTGGTAAGAAGGCAACTTTTTTTTTTTTTTTTACATTTTTCAAGGCTTTTGGAAGCTGATTCAAAGTCATTACGTTCTATGAATGGCTCACGAAGGAATAGCGGGTCGTCTTTGGTGTCCAGTTCTTCTGCATCATCTAATCTGAGCCATCTTGAAGAAGATACCTGGATCTTATGGGGAAGGATTGTCAATGAATGGGAAGAATGGCGGAAAAGAAAAGAGAAGTTACTCAAGGTGAGGAAAATAATTGCTTCTCTAGTGGTAGACGTATTTTATAAGACTTGAAAGTCATAGACATGTTTACATTTGTTGCATCTTATACTTGCATCTTATCTAATAATTCCTTTTTTGATTGTGTATTTCTTAATTATATTTATGGACTCGGACAAAAAAGGCTGTGAGGGAAAAAATTTAATATAACAATAAAGTGTATTACCTAACTACTGGCTTTTTGGAACAAATGCATGTGAAATGGTGATGGAAGAATTCTATAAAGCTGAGGGCAAAAACCAGAGGAGAAACAAATTGTTTTCTAAAATCCAGTTGATTAAGGTATTGAATGTTTATTTTGTGGATTCAGATAAGCCTTAATTTAGAAACTCTTCATTAAGATAACTTACTGATGTGTTGTAATTTTGGATGCAATAACACTATTGTACCCAGTATTCCTCTTAGTTTATGTCAAGAGTTTAAAATTGACCGTATCCCTTTATAGAAATATGGAAAATACTTGAAGTGTGAATCAGCTTTGCATAATATCACTTAGAGTATCTTGTAGTCTTTTTTCTCCATTGTTTAGGAACTCATAAGGAAAGGAATCCCTCACCATTTCCGAGCAATTGTTTGGCAGCTTCTGTGCAGTGCCACAGACATGCCTGTGAAGAATCAGTATTCAGAGTTGCTGAAAATGTCTTCTCCTTGTGAAAAGTTAATCAGAAGAGACATTGCCAGAACATATCCCGAACATGAGTTCTTCAAGGGGCAAGACAGTCTGGGCCAGGAGGTTCTCTTCAATGTTATGAAGGCAAGTTTAAGACAACCCCTTTTCTTGTCAAAATTACATACAGTGTATATCCCTTTATATGGAATAGAGGTCTATTTCATGAAATTAACATCAGCATCTCAACTTAAAATCAAACGAGTTTTTCTTATCTAGAATGTCAGCTTTCTTCATTTGGCATCTCTTTGATTGATGTTTATAATATTTCTAGATCGATAATTATCCTTGCAGATCATATTAAAACTGTTTTGCATGTTCACTGTATTGGAATTTAATTGGAAAAATAGTCTTATTCTAATAAATTGTTTTTCCTTTTAAGACAGCATATGCAGCAAAGATCAATGCAGAGATTGATTTAGAAAATGAATTGTTGTATAATAGCTACAAATGAGGCAGAGTCATCTCTTTGATACTTCTTTTGCAGCCTCTGACATACTATAAAATTAGTCTTTTCAAAAGTAGGGCCCTCCAGGAGTGCTGGAATTTAAATTCCCAGAATCTTCTCTCAGTGTGTCCTTGGCTTTTTTTTTTTAACTAATAAGCCTGATGAAAATTTTTGAAGGCCTATCACACTCCCATTTCATTTTGGTTTTATATATTCACAGTTACATAATTAATGAGTTGACTAATTTCTGTAGATGAAATCGCTCACTCTTCTGTGATTTTTCATAACAATTCTGGGAAGTAGTCTGAGCTAAGACAGTGCAGGTGGCCCAAAATCACCCAATGGCCTTCTGTGGTTGGAGACACATACACGCAAACTGTCCTATTTGTTTTAGTAAAACTCTTTCTATGGCTTGTTTCCTTTTTACCAGTTCCCCTTCCCCATGTGATTCTTGAATTTTCATGGCAATATTTCATTTACACCTCAATGTATAATTTCATGTGGTTCAGCAACATTCACACTGTATAATTGGTGTTAGGTACCATTGGGGATTAAGTCACTTCCCATTTGATTATAGTTATTTAGAACATCCAGAATTTTTCCTTCTTTGTTGTGATTAATGTATGCATATATCCAATCTATCTGTGAATATTTACAATGTCCTATATTATCATTTTTTCTTTCACTCTCTATCATTGTCTCTCATGAGCAATAGTACTATTGTAGGTTTTTCGTACTAAATCAATATCGGTAGTCTTGGAAATACTTTTTCTGTGGGTTTGAGCTTCTTCAGTGACAGACTGAAGCCTCGCCTCTGCGAGGCTTTGATCCGTGCTCACCGCTGGAGCACCCCGAGCCGGCAGGTTTCGGGGCTAAGCCACCCCGTAGAGGTGGTGAAGAGGGGGGGAGACTGCCTGCAGGGTTGAGGAGAGCCGCATCTTTCCTCCCCAGCTGGCCATTACTCCCTTTCCCGAAGGCAGTTGCAGCGGTGGTCAGAAATGGCCACCACAAAGAAGAACTCGACCGGAAAAGAATGTGCAGGAGGAAGATAAGAAGAGAAAGTTTTGGTTGACCGGGTCAAACAGCAAAAGCAACAAATAAGATACCCTGGAATTGAAACTCTTAAAAACCAATAACATTGTTCCCTAAGAAGATTTTTAAGCTGCGAAGGAGAGAGAAAAGGGAAAAGATTTGGTTTTCTCCTTTTCCTATACTGACAGCTAAGAGACTTAAGCAAGAAATTGGAAAAAAAATCCACTTTGACATCAATAGGCATTTAATGCTGAAAATAAAAAGTCAAAGGGATAATAAAGATTTCTGGATAATTAAAAGCTTTTGAAAACAAGAAAGGAGAGAAAAAGAATAAAAGGGTAGGATCTGGAAGGGAGGAGACTGCCTGGAATTAAAAAAAAAACTTACAGCAAAATCTCAACAAGACTTCCAAAAGATACATTCTAACTGAAATATTGCAACAAAAACCCCAGGAAGAGAAGGTGGAAAAAGAAATAAGATATAACTCAGGACTATCTGGATTACTTGATGATTTCTGGATTCTTGGTTATTGTTTTGAATGACTAAAATCAATCGGGTGGTTGTTTAAAACTGTTTAAAATGGATCCACTTTTAGAAGAACTGAAAATGGAACTTTAAAAGTACAAAGAAGATGCACAAGAAGGGAGAGGTTCTTTTGGCTTCGTATTTCAATTCTTAGAAATGGAGATTTGGAATTATGAGAAACAAGAAATGCCTGCAGAACCAGATTGTGACAAAGAAGAGGCCATCTTTAATGAACAAGTAATCTTAGATGGGGGAAAAAAGGAAAGGGGGGAAAGAGAATGGAAAGTTTAAGATTGGGAAAAACGACTCCAAAAAAAAAAAAGAGTGAAAAATAAGTATAAAATCAGAAAGCAACAGAAGAGGGAAATGCAGAAGAGAGAATTAGAAGTAGAGAGACAAGGGGGTAAAAAGGGGAGGGAGAAGATGAGAGGGAAGAAAGAAAGGAAAAGAAGTTATAAAGGACAGAAGCAAAATATAGAGAAACAGGGTCTATTTGGAGATAATGGGTAAACACTTAATGGAAAAAGGGATTCTGCAAAGGTACATAAGATAGTATGGTTATATTAGAAGCAGAAATAATTTTAGAAAATATGAATGTATGATTAAAATGTCTGATAAAATAACTATCATAATTCAGTGGAATGCTTGTCAGTAAATAAATGTAACAAAAGGTATATTTAATGATTTATAAAACATATGTGAAGAGAAATAAGGGAAAAATTAATTATGGAGATTATATGTGTTTTTAAGGAAGTAGTATATTTAATTGAAAATAAGTGTTAGAGATGTTAAGATTATTAATGATAGAACTGAACTGGAATGGAATGAGGGTTTATAATTACATATATTTACAATCTTTCTTTTTTTTATGAAGAATATAGTGTGTATTATAAGAATGTACCAAGCAGAATTCAGTTGGAAGTTATGTATTATGTATTATATTGAAGGTCATAAACTTAAGGTATATATTGATGTTTAAATAAGAGTTGAATGGATGTAATTAAAAGATATAAAGGTATCATACTCCAATTAGTAACTACAGGAGAAAATTTGTTTAATGAGAAAAGATAATATGAAATTGAAACAGAACAGACAAAAGTATAAATATAATGATTTGAATTGAGATGAGATAATCAAAATAAAATTGAGAAAATTAAAAGAGGGGAAAACTATATAGAAAATGTAAAATAGTATAAGATATGGAATAGAATACAAAAAGGAGCATGAAATTGAGTTTTGTGTCTGTATAAAGAAATTCAACCCGGGACCATGCTATTTTCAAAAAAGATGTTCTACTTGTATTTTGTGTGTGAAAACCCAAATAAAACTTTATTGAAAAAAAAGAGGAAATACTTTTTCTGTAATAAATATGTAATTGGAAGAGAAGAGTCTTTATTTTTTAAAAAATTATCAATACTGAAAGGTGTTTTTTTTAAAAAACAGCAACAAAACAAAGTAAACTCAGAAAGGAAAAGAAAGCATAGAAAGTATAAGAAAAGAGGGGGGAAGAACGGAAGAAGAGAAAGAAAAAGAGAAGAAATGACTTTTTTTGGGGGGGGGGAGAAAAATACCATTTATTTACAAGTAGTAACATTATTTAAAATGCCACATTTCCTGCTAAAGTCGCTACAAAAGCAAATAGTAGAGGGATGCAAGCAGGGAAAGACCCCAGGTGCTCTACATCACAATAGAAATTTAGTAATTCTTCACCTCCTAGAAGACTACACGCAAGCTTCTCATCTTCCTATAAACGATCCCTTATTCATATGAAAATCCACAAATTGTTAACATTTCAGTCCTGCTGTCAGAAAAAATCCATAAAGGGTTTCCAGAATTTTAAAGGACTCAGTGGTTAGAATGCAGTATTGCAGGCAAACTATGCCCACAGCCTGCAATTCGATTCTGATGGGGCTCAAGGTTGACTCAGCCTTCTGTCCTTCCAAGGCCTGTAAAATGAGGGCCTAGTTTGCTTGGGGCAATATGCTGACATTATAAACCATGCAGAGAGTGCTGTAAAGCACTGTGGGGTGGTATATAAGTCTAAGTGCTATTACTATCGGTATTACAGAAATGGGCCTGTAATTAGAGCAGAGGAACATGTGCAAGAAAATTAAGATATCACATTCTGTATTTATCATTACTGTTGGTTCCATAAAAAGTGGTTTTTTGAATTATAGTGGAAGCCTGGCACTCAGACTAATTGGCCATCAACAGGGACACAGACATAAACAACATCTACATACCATTCAAAAGAGACAATCGAACAGCCAAAAAAGAAATAAAAAGCCCCAAACACTTCCTTACCAGCAATCAACACCCAGATGAGCAGAGATTATTACCAAGATTAAGATTAAATCAACAATCAAGAAACAAACTAACCCAATCAAGGAACTGCCAAACAAGCTAACAGTAAGCAGCCCAATCAAAGAACCACCAAGATCATTCCCACCAACACCGATAGGGCAGGCCTCTAGTATATAAAATGGCAACAGACTCTACTGCCTACTAGGATTGATGATATTACCTAGTTTGAAAATGAAATGTCTGCAAGAAAACAACCAAGCTCAGAGAGCAGCAAACACCCCACAGTTCAACCCTGAGTTACAAATATTCTCTTCTTTTGGACATATCTCAGATTTCAAGAATAACATGGGAAACTTCTTGAGTTTCTAAAACAAAGGACATGATAAAAATATAAGAAAAATAAAATCAAAACATGTTTTTAAGCTTTTGCATCTTTTATTACAATTTTGACAACATAGTTTGTTCCTTATATATCCTATTCATATGGTCACCAGAAGTAAAGACAGACTTGAATGCACCAGAAACAGGTACCTTGTATTGCATAATTCCTCAGAGTGTCTCACATTCAAAGAAAGAGCATGCAAATTCTTAAATTCCCCAAGAGTTGCCTGAAATGCATCACTCAGTTAATATATGTGGCACCTTTCTTCAGTTAAACTTTATGCTACTTCATTCCACAGTATTTTTCATTTATTAGCTTTCTTTTCAAAAATATTGATCTTAATTTCTCCCTACTGTATCTCCATTCATATATCTTCCTATTATATCAAATTTCCAAGATAATTAAGTTTCAGATTCATTACTTTCCCATAGTTAATATCTGAAATATTTTCATGGTGAGAAAAATTTTATAGTTAAGTTTATACATCTGATAAAAAGAACTGTGATTCATGAAGTCTTGTTTAATAATATATTTACTAAAATTCAAGATATCACCAAAATCTCTGCATATTTTAAAATACAGTTGTACACATCTAGTTTTAGCTTAATTTTAGTTTAATTTAGATAAATTAATGGCTAAATTGTGAGCTGTAAATTTTTTTTTTTTTGCTTAAAATTCCTATCTTCCAGGCTTATTCTCTAGTAGACCGTGAGGTTGGATACTGCCAAGGTAGTGCATTCATCGTGGGACTGCTGCTCATGCAGGTTTGTGTTACTTAACATTAGAAATCTTGAGGAACAGGTGGCGGTCATGGTGAGGAAGCTTTTTGTGTAACTGCAAATTGTGCATCAGTTACGCTAATTTGTGGACCAATGTGTCCTCCTCACAGTCATCCATGCCCTGTTCGTTTCCAGTTTGGGCTACTGTTAATGTGCTCTATATGGAGCTGCCCTTCAAGGGTATATGGAAACTCTAATTGGTTCAAAATGCAGTGGCCTGCATATGTCGGCACAAGACAAGATTTACACATTTGTTACATCTTTCAAGGAAGCAACATTGATTACTTATTTTCGTCCGGGTACAATTCATGGTGGTGGTTGCCACCTTTAACTAGGGCCAAGATATTGGAAGGACTTCCTCCTCAGCTACATCTACCCAGTCCACCGGAATGGGAAGGCAAGTATATTGGGGATCCCAACTATTAGGAAAGTTCATGTAGTGAGACTAGAGGGAAAGGGCCTTTTCTGTGATGGCTCCCTTCCTTTGGAACACCATTCCCCTGGAGATAAGATTGGCCCTTACCTTAATTTTTATGGAAGGCCTTGAAAACAGTTCTGTTTGTCGTCTTGGGGGGCCCAGGTTAATACAGACCCAGTCAAGGTGGCTGTGTGATTGTGTGATTCCTGCTGCTGGGGATGGGGAGGGATTTATGGGTTGTAAGATTTTAATGTTTTATGCCACCCAGAGTCACCTTACATGAGTTGGGAAGGGAGGGAGGAAGGCAGGCAGGCATTAGGAATGTTTAGATCAGTTCATTATCTTAGAAAATATTACATTACAGGCCTCTAGTCTGTAATTTTATTTTTATGCATTTATTTTATTCATCCCACATTTCTTTCAGAAACTCAAGAGCAAAATACCTAATTGCATGCTCCTCCAATTTGTCCCCAAAGCAACTACCTTACAAAGGCTGGGAAGTAACTGGCCCAATATCATCTGCTCAGTTTCCATGGCTAAAAGTTGATGACTTTGGTTCTCATCTAGTTTCTCAAACTAGAATATTAGCATGAATTTATTATTTAAAAATAGGAGCTTCTGGTTTTATATAGAAAGAAGTTTTTGTCAATATAAACTTACTTAAAAACTTTTAATTATTCACTTAGAAGCAGGTCCCTAAGTATTCTGCTTTTCTAGGAATTTGAATGTTCAATCTCTATAGATTGTACTCAGTCCACATTGCACATTTAATATATGCTATTTTGATGAAGTGTTGAAGCCAAGCTGGTTCAATTTTATATGTATGGTTTTACACTTATTTTTACTGGTTTGAAATGAAATAAGGCAGCAGCTTATTATAACCTTTAGAAGAGGTTGATTGGTTTGTTCTGCAGCATTGTTTTGAAAGGAAGGCTTTAGACCTTCCCTCACAATGAAATGCCATTTTGAAGATCCTTGATAGTCAGTTTGTAATAGGTGACACATTTTTTTTTCAGTCTATAGTAGAAAAAGTATAATCTAGAAGAGGGGTGTCAAACTGGCAGCCTGAGGGCTGGATGCATCATGTAGGCCACACCTACCCCAGCTCCACAAAGGGGAAAAACATCATGATACATCACATGACAGCAATGTGACGCCACGAGTTTGACGCCAGTGATCTAGAATGAACTGTAATATAATTGCCTGCATTTATTTGGAAATTAGTGGGTTTCTGTCTGGCTTAAGAGCTGGATTTTCAGGGATATCTTATCAATAAATTGGGAACTACAAAAACTTTCCTGACAAAGGTATTTTTCTACTGAAGGCATTTTTCTACTGTTGCCAAGAAACTGTATGGCTATGTATTCATGTAGTCATCAAGGAAGGGAGAATAGTTGCTCAAAACTGAGAGAAAAAAGCCAAGTGCCCTTGTAGAAAATTATTCAGGTCTGCTATGTTTTGGATGTGTATCTTTTTCAAGGACAGCATGAAAAAAAGACATACGACCATAATACATGGCATAAACATTGCAGTAAATCAATCACTTGATTTTAATACAATGACTTAAAAGCATTGTATTGATTGTAATGAGCGATTATTACATTATTATATAACCTGAATATAGCATTAATAAAAACATTACAAAAACAGTCACATATATTGCATCCTTAATCTCCATCCTATTTAAGATATGTGATTGTGTTGAATAAATTCCAATGTATATTTATGCTTATTTTCAAAACCATTCACATTAAATAATCTTATAGCTTTAAAAGGTTTTCTTGAGTTATTATACATTGGAGCTGAACAATGGAGGCAACAGTTTTGTTAGTTTTGATAAACTGCTTTCTTTTAAAGCAGCGGTCCCCAAACCCCCAAGTGGCCAGGCTTGGAGGCGGGGAGGGGACCTGGGCCATGCAAGTGCACATACAGCTCTTGCATGAGTGGTGGGCCAGCGTGCACATGCGCAGCTCAACTTGTACAAGCGGCAGGACAGCATCCTTTCCACAAGTGCCTGCCAGCCAGCCATAGGCACGCCAGCCAGTCAGTCACACAGCCTAATTCCGAATAGGCCAAGGCTCGGTAGCAGCAGGCCCACGGCCCAGGACCCCTGTTTCAGAGGACATAGCACAGACTCAGTTAAAGAACCCTTATATGAAAAGCATCCGTTTTATTATTTATTAATTTTTGAGAATTTGAATTTTCTCCTTGTGTTTTATTTTGTCTTTTTTATTTATTTCCCTTTTTAAAAGTGGAATCCATAATTGGTAAAATAAGTCTACCCATTTAGGCTTTGTTTGCTGCACACTGAACAGAAGGTTTTTGTCCTTCATTAAGTTTGACAGAGACTCATGCGCATGCACTGTCTGCTTCTAGATGCCAGAAGAGGAGGCCTTCTGTGTATTTGTACGGCTGATGCAAGAGTATAGACTACGGGAATTATTCAAACCCACTATGGCCGAGTTAGGACTCTGTATCTATCAGTTTGAATATATGCTGCAGGTAAAGAAATTTCCAAATATTGGATTTTAAATATGCACTGCTTTCTTTTTAGATGAATTCCTAAAATCTATCAGAAGTCTGAAGTACTAGAGCTTACTAGGGTAGCAAATAATTAGGAATGTTTGTTGCTGTATCTTATGACTTTAACTTTGAGAATCCTGCTGAGAAATTTCTTAATGTCTATGTAGTAATTAATGTTAAGTGAAGTTTGTCGTAATTTAAGACTTACATTTTATGTTTCTGTCAGGAACAACTACCTGAGCTGAATATCCACTTCCGCTCCCAAAGCTTTCTCACCTCTATGTATGCATCATCTTGGTTTCTTACACTCTTCCTCACTACTTTTCCTCTACCTGTGGCCACACGAGTATTTGACATCTTTATGTATGAGGTAAAACATGTAATTAAAAATGCAGAAGGGGAAGAAATTGAGTGGTCTGCATAACTGATTTGATAGTTAATATTTGCACAGGAAAAAGTAGGATATGAGGCAACAGCTTTTCTGTCTTGTACCCTGGCAATAAAATTCTATTTCTGCATCTAGTTGGAGTGGAGGGAGATAATCATAGTAGTAATCATTTCTATTCCTATTGTCCATGGATTCATCTAATTATTTCCAAAAATTGTATCTGAATAAATAGTTCAGATTGATTTGTCACAGAACATTCTAGCAATATTGTAATTTCTAGTTCTACCTTATGCGTGAAACCAGCTTGGAAACTTTGGGCTGGTCCCAGCCCAACAAGCCTCACATGGTTTTGAGTTATTTATAAAATAATAAAGGTGGGATATAAATGAATATTTGCTTCTGTAAATAAACAAGTTGCTGCATAAACATTTGCTCAGTTATGTTTAATTTAGAATTCTTGGTATAACTTGGTTAAAGGAGAAACAGACATTTTAAATGGTGTATGCAAGTGGATAGTTGAGTTGGGTGCAGAGGGGGGGGGGACTAAAGCATCAGATTCCCATTACATTATTTTGTAATTTAAATTGCATTTTTTCACATAGGAAGGACTGTTTGACCTTTATTGTAAACCATAGGAAATTCAAATACAGGTGGAGTCTGTCTAAATTCTATAACATCTTTTAGGGATTGGAAATAATCTTTCGTGTAGGAATGGCTCTTCTGCAATTCAACCAAGCTGAACTGATGCAACTGGACATGGAAGGAATGTCTCAGGTCAGTTCTATCATGCATTGTGGGACTAGAAGAAGGATTGTTCAGTGTTGATACAACAAACTTTCAGTTGTCTGCAATTCCATATTTAGGTTTGTACGAATGAAGAGAATTACAGGATTCAGGATAGTTTGAGATAAAGAACTGATTCCAATAAATGTAGGCCTTTTAGAACCACGGTTCCAAAGTGTAAAAACGCTTGAAAGCTTAGCCCATTCATTGTGCCAAGCCATAATTCAATTTGTGTGGCTTTAACCTAGTCTTTTTTTTTTTTTTCAAAATTCAGTCACATCTTTCACCAATCAGTTAAAACAAACCATGGCTTAGAATGAAGTGTATTTGTAGTCTCCCTGTAGTAGTACTCTTGCTACAACAACAACAACAAAATTATCTTGGCTACATTAGGAGGTCATGGGAGTGGTATATTGTCAAAGTATCTTTCAAAGGTCTATATACTGCTATCTACTAAGAGCAGCTTCACAGGATTCCTGGCTCCTGACTACTTTTTGCTGCCCAGGGATGATCTACTGGTCAGTGAAGAGCACGAGACTCTCTAATACTCAGTGGGCAGATCTAAGCCTCTGGGGAATGAAATCAAGTATAGGAAGGAATATTCCAATAAAATACATGCATCTGTCTTTCACACCCACCCACTGCACCCACTCATTTATATCCCACTGCAATCATAGACAAATTCTTGGCAGCTCATAATAAAAAAAAACCCCAGTAACAATCAAATTGAATATATAAAAAGCCCAACAGTCAATATAGACAAACCTACATTTCAGAACGCATCTGGTGTCAGCTCTTAAATGCCCTTCTCATGGGAGGCCATCCAGAGGGCCCGGCCAACTACAGAACAACTATGATTCCATGTCTCTTCCCCACCCACCCACCCACCTCACCATAACCTCCCCAAAATGGAGGGATGACGAGCTGCCTCTCCTAGTGTGATCAAAGGGGCTGGGAGGATTCCAGTGGATCAACGTATATGTGTATGTAAAAAAAATAGATGTAAGAGAGATTGTATAGTGAATATGCTGTCATTCTGGTAATTGAAACAAATATTGTCTCTACATCCTTTAAAATAGTTGTAAAGAATTGATAGAATATTTGAAATACCCATGAGTATTTCCTTTTTCTGAAATGCAACAGAGGTATGTATTTCTCCAGCTGTAAAAAAACAGCTCACTACTTGGGTGGATATTTGAGAGTAAGATGAGAGGTTACCTAGTGGCAAGTATTATGGGCTGACACCCCAATCTTTTTGGCACCAGGAACCAGTTTCGTAGAAGACAATTTTTCCACGGACTGGGATTGGGGGGAGGGGAGGAGTGCACAATCTAGACCCCTCAGATGTTCAGTTTACAGCAGGATTTGCGCTCCTATGAGAATCTAATGCCTAATGAGCTGAGGGTGGAGTTGAGTGGTGATGCTAGCACTGGGACTGCAAATACAGATGAAGCTTTGCTTGCTTGCTTGCTGCTCACCTCCAGCAGTGCAGCCTGGTTCCTAAGAGACCATGGACTGGTATCAATCTTTGCCTCAGGAATTGGGGATCCCTGAGCTAGATGACTGGAAACTTACAAAACTGAACAAGTACATTTCAAAGCTCCAGGCCCATAAAGTTAATAACTACAAAACATTTCCATTTGTGATATTGCCATATGGGTTTGTTTGTGCTTAACAGGTGAACACTTTGAGGTAAATCTAGTCTTATATGTCAGATTTAATCTCTATGGGAAAGCTTTTCTTCAAAAATATAGAATTACTTCAAGCAAATATAATGCTTCTAAGATACCTTCCTTCCCTTCCTACAATATTGTATATTTATTTTTTCATTATACAACTTCAGTAAACTGTTTTATTCATTGCAACATAGAATTAGAGAATGAAGAAACAACTGAAATCTAATTAAGCTATTTCTTCCTAATTTATGAAATTGGAGCATTGAGCATTTCTGCATTGTATGAAGACTTACTTAGGCAGAGAAAAGATTTATGATTTTTATTGCATTAATAGCTGAGAATATCTTCATCTAAATAACTTCTAATTTGTATGATAAAACACTACATTCTATCGGGCTCTGGCTTTATTTAGCATACCATATATTAGCCAAAACGTGTTCTATGCAAGTTTTAGCAATACGCTAGAAGTTTTCTTTAAGCTAGGAGTTATCCTATAGGCATGATTTAAGATTGTAACTAGTAAAAAGTTTTGCTCTGAAATGTCTTATTCTCTGTGCATTTGTGCTCATGTAAGCATCCAGACTTGGAATATTTCAATGAGCTATAATAAATGTGGTCAGTAATACCTCTGTACCTATTCCATTCTAAAAGCTCCCCTATCACAGTGTTAGACTTGAATTTTAATTCACAACCATTAAATACTTGAATTCAGTGCATTCAATTTTAGTTTAATGCAAATGGGCCATATTTGGAAGAATCTTTTCACAAGAACCATTCCAGAGATTAACCATCCCTCTGTTGTCCGATGTAATCAACCGAGAAAAGAGGTAATCCTGGATTTACAACCACAATTGAGCCCAAAATTTATTGTGCCGAGCAAGGCAGTTGTTATGTGAATTTGGCTCCATTTTATGACCTTTCTTGCCACAATTATTAAGAAAATCATTTCATTGTTTAGTGAATCAGGCAATGATTAGGTGAATTTGGCTCCCCTAGCTGACTTTGCTTGTAGGAAGTGCTTGGAAGGTTACAAATCACATGACCCCACAACAGTGCAACTGTCATAACTACATGTCAGTTGCTAAGACCCAAATTTTGTTCACCGACTATGGGGATGCTGCAGCAGTTGAAAGTGTGAAAATAGGTTGTAAGAGATATTGTAACTTCTTCACTATAAATGAATGGTTATAAGTAGAGGATTACCTGTCTAATAAAAATGTCAGAAATTACATTTCATGATTAGACCATATGACTTTGATACATTTTCACTTGAGAATTGTCTACTGCAGTATTTTCAGAAGGTGATTCCTCATCAGTTTGACAGCTGTCCTGATAAGCTGATCTTAAAGGCCTATCAAGTCAAATACAATCCTAAGAAAATGAAACGGTATGTTTTCAATTTTTATTCCTCATATATAGTTTAAATACTAAAGAATACAGGATTTAGGCAAAACTCATGAGGTGGACCAGTTCACGATGTTCGTGTTCCAGGTCAACCTATAAAAGAGAATACAGTTATCCTTTCTAACCTGACATACTTCCCTAAACAAAAACTGAACACCAAATGTGTTGGGAAAAATATGCTCAATCTGCAGTTTTCGTGCTGACTTTCCAAATAAAGGTGATAATCTTAAAATTGAGATTATTAGAAAATGGGTGTTTTCTCACCCATTACCATATTTTTTCTGTCGCCATATTATGTTTGATGGCAGAATGAACCCTATTATCTATTTTCTAGACTGGAGAAAGAATATACTGCAATAAAAAACCGGGAAATGGAAGAACAGATTGAAATCAAGGTAAGACCCCTGTCTATGTCTTGCAATACTGTAATCAAAATGAAGGGTTGGCGTAATATGTAATACTCGGTGTTATCTAAAAAAATAATCTTTCTTAAATAATTTTCAGGTCACATTATTTCCTCTTCGTTTCATCCTGGACATCTTGATTAGTAGCTTTGTTATTTATAGTGGGCATGTATTTTAAGCGTTATTTTTGTTGGGGTAATATGTGTGAAATTAAAGAATTTCCTTTTTTGAACTTTAGATCCATCAATCTGTATGTCGTGTGACTTTTCCTCTTCTGGTTATTTATGATGCTTGGCTTTAGTTCAGTAGTCAAAATTTCAGCATAACATTTTGATATGCTGGCTTTCACTTGACAAAAGCTCCTGCTCATACAGCAGAGCACATGCTGATTCTAATCTTGCTTGCAGAGGCTCCGTACTGAGAACCGCCTTCTGAAACAGCGAATTGAAACCCTGGAGAAGGTGAGAAGTGTACCCAGCCGCATGAGAATCCACTTCCTCCGCTTCCAGACTAGCTTGGCCACCAAAAATGAGGCCTTACACAGCTCTCTGTCTCAGTTGACTGTAGACAATACACAGAATGCCAGCCATTAGTCTTTGTGCATCCTCTCAGGGACTACCTTGCACATGTATTTCTGGAATCATTTTTAATGTAAGCACCCAAGAGAGTATTTCTCACCCTATCACTACTGGGAATAATTAAAAAGTGATCTGCTTGCCAGGATTCCTTAAGATAGAAAAATAATCTGTAAAGATGTTAGATGTAGTTTCTCTGCCCATCCCAAAAGCTTTGATCAAAATGGTCAACTCACATATTTTGGACCCAAAGTAATTTATTTGTCTTGTGGTTGATATGATTGTTTTTCAGCTGTCTTGTATCATATTCTTACACTGATCTTGTTTTTGTGTTTAAATATTAAACGCTTTCATGAAAAATGTAAAAACTCCTTGGATGTATTTTATTGTAGAATAAATATGCTAATAGTTAACTTGAGGACATCTTGGTTAATTGCCCAACAACGTCATAGCTACCTTAAAGTGTCCTTGTTACTTCTTCAAATTTCTGGACAAAGGAAGTGTGACTTATGAAAGGCAATGAGATCCTTGTCCATTGGTGAAGTAGGCAAATTATGAATCCTGATAGTTCTTGCAGTGTTGGGGCAAAATTAATATGTGAAGCTGCTTCTGGGAGTTCTGTTATCTGTCATTCCTTATGCACATGAACCTTCTTATGATCTGCATGATGGAAATGACATGGTGCAAATTTAAGACAGTTTTGGAAGTTCCTTTTCTTGGGGTCTTTTGGGCTCTTTATCTTTTTTCCTCTGTGCTCTTGTGACCCTGCTGTTGTATCTTTTTTTCCTTTTATTCATCTTTCCTTGTCTGGATCTCCTCTTCTGGGTCTATAGGAGAGTGCTGCCTTGGCAGATAGATTGATCCAGGTACAGTAAAAAAATCTTTTTTTAATTCCCAACTCTCCTTTTAGTTTTCCATTTCATTTCACTACAAAATAATGTCTGCAGCATTTAATGTTATTGGTAACTCACATTTAATAAAATTCAGACTAACAATTTTACTTTGGTTGTTTAATTTTCTGCAATATTATGCCGCTGTCTTTTATACAGTATTTTGAAATGTTGACTTACACATCACTGTTTATTTTAGCATAAGGTTAATTAATTATGCTGCTTATACACCAGCCAATGTTTCTGGCTCAGGACAGGCAGGTTAAATATTTTATTATGGCAAATTACGGCAAACCCAGTTACCTACTTGATGAAAGATTGGTTTTAGTATTAAATGTTATAGACCAGGGTGTCAAACTGGTGTCTCGGGGGCCGGATGTGTCATGTACAGGCCATTCCCATCCCAGCGCTGTAAAGGGAAAAAAACATCATGTGATGGCAACATGACACTGTGAGTTCGACACCCGTGTTATCGACAGTTCAAATCTCTGAATTGTCCTGTTCTCTGAATTATAATTGGGGATTACAGGGAAGGAAGAAGAATGCCATTGGGGCACTTTTCCCTGTGAAAATCATTGTAGAAAGGGAAAAAACATTGCATTCTTAGGTTTGTATCTAAACAAGTCTAATTTCTTATACTGGAACTTCCACATTTTTACATCACTTCTACCACTAGAAACTCATTGTATATCATCAGTATGAATGTCCTTTTAATTCAGCATAGACCTGCCAGGAAAACCAAGGCACAATTAAAACTGTAGGTACATCATGGGAATTGTTGGAAGGTGTCAAAGTGTCCCAGTGGGGCTGAAAACTCTAGTCTGCAATTTCTGTTTTATATTTTAAGCATGAATTTTCTTTTAAAACACTACAAAGAACTATAAACATTTCTAAATTTTATGGGGAGATCAGGCCCATAAAGGAAGATTGCAAAAAGTAAGACTGTACGTAATACTCCTTCCTCTTCGTATGTTCCCCCACAACAAGAACCCTGTGAGATTAGTTGGGCTGAGAGAGAGTGATTGGCTCAAAACCACCCAGGTGATTTTTATGCCTAAAATGGGACTAGAATTCATAGCCTCCTGATTTCTTAAACACTACACCAAATTGATATGTATGCTTAAAAAGTAGTTTTTTTATGGAGAAAATATATTGTGGGAATGGCCTTGGCAATTTGCTAAAAGACCCCATGGCTTTCTGGTGCCATCCAATGCTTGCAACCACCACTTTTCTTAAACAGGTACCTGCAACAATAACAAGTAGGAAGATGAAGGAAGGCATAGTCCTTCCCATCAGTCTCAATTTGCCTGGAAATTCTGTCACCATCTTGGATTACATTAGAATAGGGAAAAGGAATTTGCTATTGGGAATTTCATGTGATCCTTATATACCCCTCCCAAATTCCCAGGTACAAAAATGTGGCAACCTCGAAGCTTCTAAGTAAAATATGGCTTCCAAGGTTGACAATGTGCTTCTGTATGTAGAACAGTAGGATAGACCATGCTGAACAATAACATTAACTTGGCTTTCAAACAACCCAATTTGTGTTTTGTGTTGCTTCAGATTCTGTAAGCAGAGAAGCAGTACATGGATTCTGTTGAAAGTTCCTGCTTTTTTATTAAAAAGAAGTGTGAAGCTTAGAATTTGTCCCGATTATAGGAAGCATCCTTACAAAGTGTAATATTGCAGCTATGGTCTGGCAGCTGATGGTTATAGTAGCATAATAACCAAATGAACACAATGTTGAAGGTCATGACATAAAAAACCTCGAATTGAGCATTTGTTGTTTGAAAAAGCTATATGAAATTATCCCAAAGAATGAATTTGCATAAAGTTGTTATACAAACAGATGCTACATTCCCACTCCTGTGTGTTCCATAGTGCTTTTTTGAAGACTGAATACAGATGCATGAATATATTGCATAGATCTAATATTTACATCCTCTTTTACACATTAATTTACAGCTACAGGTAACTCCAATGCACATTGATACCACGCAGCAAGTAGATGCTTTTCCATTTGTTTAGTTATTTATGCACAAATGTGGAACAAGCATAAATTTTAAACTTCAAATATGGAAGCACCAGAGAAATTAGACATTTTATTTATCAATCAAGGGATATAAACATAAGGATTATCAAAGAAGAGTATTTTATCAGAATCTACGATTATGGCTGAACTTACTGATAAAGTATTGGTATTCAGTAGCCTTTTCTCAAAACCCTCTAAGCACTTAATCCTGTTTACCTGTGTGATAAGTAAATTGCTCCATTGTAATAGGTCTTTCACTAGAGTATTGTTTTTTACCTAACAATCATGGTTAGTTACTTTTTTGTTTGCCTTTTCCTATGTTCTCTGACAATTCATAAAGGAGTAGCTTAAGTGTTAAGTCTGAAACATTGAATAGTGGGATCAAAATATCCATTTGAAGACATAGCAATTAACTGACTGTAAGGAGAACATTTTATCCTCTTCTCATGCAGTCCTGTGTGCAAGTAAATTAGGACTAGTATAAGTGTCTGAAAAGTACCACAGTGTTCCCTTGTGAAATGAACCTAAAAACAGTTCTAAAAGGAAAAAAAAAATTGCTGTGCCACTCTGGTCAGGCCTTGCTGTTTCCAATTATTTGTGTATACAATGCTAAGAGAATGATAAGTAGACAGATATTTTGAAAGAGAAAGACTATTCCCCTCATCTCACATCCTGTGGTGAGGTTTACACATCAAAATCTTTCTGTATAGGATGAGATATGTCATAGCAAGTAACTTTTATGAAGCTAGAGGCAATTCTGTGGATATATTATGGGTAGGAAAGAAGGTTGGGGGTGGCGTAAAGATGCCAGAGAAGTAGGAAGAGCTTTTGCTGGACTGAGTGTCTGAAAATGCTTTGTGAGTCGAGTTTTAAGTATGCTAAGCCTTTGAATATTTATTCATTTATTTGTAATGCTGTTTAGTTTAGATTTGTTTGTTATATGAATCTGGTTAGCTAGGGCTTATTCAATACTTCAGAGTTAAATTCATTGCATGAATTCAGCCATAGTAAAAATAAAGTTGTGAATAAAAGAAGGCTCATTAACTGAAAGGTAAAGAATACAGAGTTTGAGAACAGTTACTCTTGTGTTTAGAGTTGGGTGATAATTGTAATTACTATTGAGACAAGCAATAGATAGCAGCTGACTTGCAGTTGGTGAGATTACAGTTTCAAGACAAAATGTAGACATTCTGATCAAATTGTATGTTTCAGTGAACAGAAGTTGATATAATTTTATAAAGTTAAACATGACATTTTCTGCAATTTGCATGCATAATATTTAAATATACTTGTTTACATATTCAGACATTTGAGGTGTAAAATTTTGGAGCCTTTCAATTCATTCAGTACTAGTTACATATTAACATTTACATAGCTTTATTGGTTTTCAAAAAAAACGACAAAGATAAAACAGAAACAGAAAAAAGATTTTAAAAAACCAAAAGGCTTGGAGAATAATAAAGGAAAGTGCAAAAAGGCAGAAAAAAGAAAAACAGAAAAGGAATGACTTCTGACTTTTTGGGGTACAAAATATAAATAAAAAATACATCAAACTAAGATTAGCATTTGTATGTTTTATTTCCATAATACCATATAATTCTGACTATCAGATCCCAAAGTCAACTTTTCATTTCTTTTAGTTTCTTGTGAAAACTCCAAAAATGGGTTTGAAGTAAAAATAAAATTTGCCAGTCTTCTTTTTCCATCAAAGCTGTCAGCTTCATCATCTCTGCCAATTGTACCAGCTTCACAATTCTTCCATTATAGGTATTCGTTCTAAAATTAATGTTGTTAATAAGGCACAAAAAAAGTATGGTTTTATTAAGGCTTGCATTTAGCAAATTGAACTCTTCTGACATCTCAGATCATGATAGTCGTTCTATGTCCTTCACCAATCCTTGGGCTCCTCTAAACAGCTTTTGAAAATGAAAATAATTCTTACAAATAGGAGAAAGATATTTTTAAAATCTCTGAACTCTTCCAGCTAGGAATTTCATTTGAATTCAAAGTTTCATAAAACTTTTGATGTAGTATGAATATCTAGAAGAAAAAAATGTCTGTTAGAATTGTCCAAACAGTAGTACAATATGTGAAGCAGAACTCACAGATGATTGAAAATGATCTACTAAAAAGTTTAACTGACACTGTAGTAGTTATCCACAGGTGTGCATTATATGTTATGTATACTGCAGTGTCTGTATACGAAAGATGCCAGCTTGAAATCTTTCCTCTGACATAATCCACAAATACTAAGATATGCAAAATAAGATATTGATAAGTCAGAAAACATTTTGGAACAAAGTAGTTTGGACTAATGAAATCAAAACTGAACTGTCTGGCCATTTGTAGATAAAAGGATGAAGCATTTGGAGTGGGAATACTTTAGCAACTATTAACAAGGGTTATCCTTTCAGATTTTGTGGAAGACAGTTGCACAGGCAATATTGTGCAAATGGAAGGAAAAAAAGATCCAGCATTATCTAAATACCAACATTATCTAGAAGCGAATGTCCCATAGTCAGTGAAGAAACTGCAAAGTGAAGAAACAGTGAGAAAAGCTTGTTTTCTCGCAGAAATATCCAATCTGAAACATAAACCTCAAATCAATGATAAAATACTTAAAGAAAAGTAAAGATCTGGGAATCTTTCATCATCCTAGAACTGAATATTACTGCAAATCTGCAGGAGATCTCACACTTGCAAAAAACAAAACAAAACCCAACCCTAAATAAATCAGAGATGAAAGAGTTCTAAAAGGAAGACAGAGGAAAGTGTTTTGAAATCAAGATTAGACAAACTCTTAACCAGGTAGAGGAAATTTTTGGAAGCTGTTATTTCTGCCAAAGGGGACACTGAAATGATGCCCAAATTTCTGCACCTGCTATAATGTAGTTACTGTTTCTGTAATGTGTAAAAAAATCCTGAACATCAATTGCACATTCAG